GTGTGTTCACTGGAATCATGCCAGATGCACGCTATATCTGGGGTTTTATTAAATATGCCAACCTCAGGCAAAGAGCAATTTTATTCCTTCCTGCTCTCCATTTCTGACATGGCTAATCTCTTAAGTGGTTACTTTGGGATATCCAATCTTGGCGAAAGTAAGTTGAACTAGTTGAGTCAACTAAGGGGTTAAATTGTCATTAATATCACTGAGGAAATGCCAATATAGCTATTTCATAGTGAAAAGTAGTTTCAAATATGCATACTCCCTTCACAAGGGAATATGAAATATAAATTTAACCTCCTGACCTTCCAAATGGAGACTCCAGTGCACAAAAAAGATTAACTGAATTAGAGTTTAAAATGCAAAATAATATCCTCATATCCTGATCTACATTATGTAAGCACTGGGTAGAGCATAGATCTGGATCTATTGGCAGTTGACTGGCAACAGACCAGCAAGAATGTCTGACTCTTGACCTTTTAACAACAGCAACACAAAATTACTCCCCACACCTTCAACACCCTACTCTGAATTATATCGCAGAATCAAAGAAAGCTTAAAGTAAGAGTAGATTTTTACAAGGAAGGATGGTGAACTCCATCAAGTTCTGGCACTTAAAACAGGCATGAAATGTTTTTAATTCTAAGAATACATTTTCTGAACAATGCTTCAGCTAGATGTCAGGTTTCTAGGGGTGGGGGTGGGGGGGGAATACCTTTTATTCCAACAGATACTGGCTTGTTTTATTCACACCCATCTGCTTTAAAACTTGAAGTCTGGTGATTTGCTGAAAAAGTGTTGATATTTCAAGCTTGAAACTGCAAGTTTTAAAATGTAGATTTACACTGAAATTAAGCTACATTCCCTACGAGTTTTTCTGTGCTGTGGGTAACCTGTCAAGCATTATAAAGCTTTCTTTCTGCATCAATAGCAGATATACCTGCCATATGAACAACTTTCTTAGAAATCAGAACTGTATGAACGATGATCACTAGGTTCTGTATCGAAGAATGGTCTATTGTCCAACAACTTTCTCCAATATAACAGTAACTTGTCACCTTTAAAAGTTATTGTGTGAAGATACTACCCATGGTATAAAGGTATTGGCTCCTTCCAGTGGCTACTGACATCCTAATGTGGCATAGCAGGGTCCTTAAAGCTTGTCAAAAATTTTCCAAGATGCTAATTAAGATTAAGAAAAGATGTAAAACCTTCAAAAAAGCAAATCTGATGATAGCATAGTTGTATTGAAACTGAATTAGAGGAAAAAAGCATTTACAATGCATTCAACAAATTAAAAGTACAGTAGAAGGTCAGCCTGAAATCATATGCAGCAACTTGGTAGGCCTTTCACTTTCTGAAGTATATACTTATATCTTTTTCAATGTTTTCTTTTTATACAAATTCTGTAAGTTCTTTCCTATGCTGTGACAGAAAGAAGCAAAACTCCCCAGTCAGGTCTGTTGGATCAAACCAAGGGTCTTTGTTGAGGTTTTTACTCTGAGTAGCCAGTTGCTTACAAGAGGCAAGGCATGAAAGTAATAGCCTTCTCCTCTTTAGACTACAGAATCAGATGCTGGCAATTTCTAAATATGGAAATTTTACCTATTATTTATATACACCATTTGCCCAAAAGTTCTGCAACAGAAGCTCCCAGCATATATGAATACAGACAGTCCTGCCCTCAAGCTTACAAGAGAAAAACTACAATGCCAACATTAATAGAATTGGAGGAAGAAGGAAAAAGGGAAAAGCAGTTACCTGGTCATAATTTCAATGATTATGGGTGTTCCCAAGGGTGTTTTTTCTGGAAGGAAAGGTCTGTACTGTTCCTTCTCTAGCCAATGTATCATGGCATGGGGAAAACCAACCTACAACAGCTTGTGCAAGAGGAGCTGTAGGGAGCTCGCTTTCAGCCCTTCCCTGCTAAATAGGGCATGCAACTGACCATCCCCTAAAATGGCAGATTCTGGCCCCATCAATCAGCCAGAGTACAGGGGCCACTGTGAGGCTGCATTCCCTGTCTCCTAGGAAGACTGCGGCAAAGGCAAAAGCAACAAATGGGTTACGCATGCATTTGCTCTTCCTTAAAACAACTTCCTATTCATATGTCAGAATCATGAGTCAGTCTCACTAAAATAATACATCAGCAAAGGAGAAATAATTTAGATATGATTTTGTGTAAATGGTGAGACTATAAACCCCCAAGCAAAAGCAGAGCACACTGCCAAATCGTAATGTTGATGAAGTTGATTCAGTTACAAGTTTACAGAAGGACATTTTGAAAAGCTTGCCTTCCTTTTACTGGTGATAACCAGATTAAAATTTGTTTTTATCTTGATATAAGCACAGGCTATTATGCTATTTAAATAGTGGGGATGACTTTGATATAAATATTGGTTATTAGACTTAACAGAGCATCTTTCCTGACCAACCTAGATCTAGGATGCTCTGATTCTATAGGAGAAATACATTTCCTTCAATGGAAACAAGGCTGCAAATTCAGAAACAGCTCTTCTGAACAAGGTGAAGGAAAGCAAATGTTTAAGTCAATTCATTCAATGCAATACACATGTAGTATCATACTTTTAGACATATTCCTTATATGTAGAAACCCCACATGTAGGAAACAGCCATAGCTCTTCTTTTCGAAGTACCAGCTTACTACACAGGAGAGTACTCAAATATGGAGCACTCAGCTATGAAGCATTTGAAGAAATGCAAAGAACTGCATCACAGCATTCTTCACTCAACACAGTGTATGCAATCCAGTGCCATAAGATGTATTAAAGACTAGAATGTAATCAGAAATAGTTTGCCTGGATGAGACCTTGAAAACACCATGAAATGTCAAGGCTGACATGGAAACAGCTTTGTTAGTCTGTCAGGAAAAGGCAAGTGGGAATACCGATCACTCCCCTGTCCAGCTGCATTTTTTGGCCATCACAGGCATGAGAAGTGGCAGTCAATCAAAGAATCCCACAGGAGGGGCTAGCTTGTAGAAGTGTCACTCAGGTTAAAGACTCAACCCAGAATAGAAGGAAAACATCTGGGCTGGAAAAGAGGCTTAACTAAAACTTCCGTTACTAACTGCTTCTACTAACTGCTTCACAGCCACACCCCACTTCAAAAGCAGTTGTTCAGCCTTGGAAATGCTGGTAGCAGTATCATCTTCTTGGCCTGCTTTGTTATGTCTGAATCCATCACTGCCTACGCATAAGCTTTTTGTTTATATACTTCTTACCAATTTGGACCCTCCGTTCCTTTAGATTTTGTAAAGACCCTGCCATGAAAATCAAATCAAATCAGATAATAAATGAAAAGACTGTCATTCTTCTCATGAACTTTGATTTATGTGTTTGTCATGATGTGGACTCCTAGGCTTTGCATGGCCACAGATATCACAAAACTCAGGGCTTCGGGCATCAAAATATCTGCATGTGGGAACTTTCACAGACTTGTGACTGAACATGTTTTATCTCTTGGATTTGTTCAGTCAGATTAAATCACACGGGACTTACAACCACACAGAAGTTCCAACACAGAATGCAAGGTCTGTACTGCTTTGACTATCTTTGACTGCTTGAGACAGATAACCTCAGGAATCATTTTGGCCCTGCCATACTTCCCTGGGCCCCAAAAATTACAACTAAGAAACCACTGCCTGAGTCTCTGACTTGGCTGTAGTTACAGAATGTAAAATGTTGTTAGAATACTGTTAAAGCCTATAGCAACAGTCACCTGCTACACATAGTTAAGCTTCTGCCATAAGATCCCTTGCAATTAAAAAGCTTAGATGATTTAACATCTCTCAGATTGCCAGAACTATGGTCTGCAGGTCAAAAGATCCTGAAGGATGACTTTAAATGGGAATTAGATGTATGGTGGATAAATCTGGTCATGATGGTTTTAAGAATGTTTCAAGTTCATGAGTTCAGGAAGCCTTCCTGCCCTGATTTTGAGTGGCCCAGAAGCATCTGGTTAGCTATTCTAAGAAACAGGCTGCTATATATGACAAACCCCTCTGGTCTGATGGAATAGGACTCATCTTCAAAAGCTTTCTCAGTTTGAAAAACCAGTCTGTGCTATTCTATATGTTAGCAATCACATGGATAGTAACTACACCTTTACAAACAGAAGCATTATTTCAAGGAAATAGTTGAAGGATAGAATTTCCACTGTTAAGCCCAATTATTGAGACAAGTATTGCAGTAAAGACTTAATTCATTAAGAGAGGAAGCATGTGCATGCATTTGTGTTCTCTCTCATAAGTTCTCATGTGGATATTCTTGAATCTAGCCATCATCTTAATGTCAACATTGATATCTCTGAAGAGGACCACTGGGACTTCAAACAGAATCTGTGTAAATGAAAACAATACATTGGATGTTGTGCTAAGAACAGACAATGAAATCAGGCAGGTTTTATTAAATTCATATCCCACTTTTTCATTCAAGGAATTCAGGACAGCATACATAATTCTCTTCCTCCTTTCAATCTTATTCCCACAACAAACACCCTGCCAGGTAGATTGGGCTGGAAGTCTGTCTGGACCAAAGTCACCTAGTTAGTTCCATCAATGAGTGGAGACTAGAATCCAGAACTCGAGTCCCAGTCCCACACTCTTAACCACTACAACACACTTTTTTCCCCAATGATGCAAATTTGACAGTACTATATTAAACCTAGTACTGGCAAAAATATGATTTCATCTCTCTTCCTCAGCCAATTACTGAATTTAATGAAATATATATTCAAGTTACACTAAATCCCCCCAACCCACACACACAGACCAAGAATAACAAACAACCATCACATGGCCTTCAAACTCTACTTTGAACTTCTTTGAAAGGATATTTAGTCTTAGTATGCCTTTCTATCTGTTCAGTTTTCATCCTAACATTAGCACTATTTTAGTCTACAATACAAAAGAATCAAACCACTCTTGTATTTTGGAAAAGGTAAGTCCAACTATTTATTTAGATTTATTTACTTACGCATCAGGCTGTAAATGTGCTTTTCTGCAACATGTTCCGTAAACAGTTTTATAAGGTCATTTCTTAAGTCTCGGTTAAGCTTAGTTTCTATGTAAAACTTATTCTGAAAAAGAAAAAGACAGGTTAAGTGCTTTGAAATTACAGCAACGCAAGAAAAGACCTGTGAAAATTCTCAGAAAAACATCATTATGCGTCACTCTTATCCCTTCCTTTCTCACCACAGGAATACATGCATTCATTGTGTAAAAGCACAAGCAAATAATTAAATAAGCACAGAAAGAGAACAAAAGGTCAGAAGGGGGCAGCATTTCTAAAGAGATTGGAACTGAAGCTCAGCTAATACTCTACTCCTTAATCCAGATATGGATGGGATATACTTGAAAAGTGAGCCAAAATGCATTTTGTCATGTTCTTCATTATCCCATCACACATTACTAGATAAAGTTCTGGCATGGAAATCAGAGGCCCAACACTGCCCTCTTTTACCCTCCAACAGGGATGTACAACCTGCATGTGGCCCCTCAAGTCCTGTCAATATCCTCTGGCACAGCAAATAAAAAATAGAAAAATAAAAATGCAGCAGCTGAAAAAACTCAGCATGGATAATAGCAGCACTGGACAGAGGGATGCCTTTCCCTTCCCCATAAACCGAATGCAAGTCACTGCTTTATTCACACAAACTGTAGTGGCAAAGCAGTGATCAGAGGGGGCTTTAGCTTCCTTCCCTCCCCCAGAAACCTGGAGCACTGTCTGACCACCCTCGAGCACATGTCCATGCAGAGAACCTTAATGGGTTAACTAGGTATTCATGAATACGCTAACAGAAATACCTGTGGTTGCACTGGCATTTCATGCACACGCCTTCTTAGATTATGCAGACACTAATTTTTTTCCTATTGGATTGTATAAGCCATTTTGCCTCAATCCCCTTAAACTATATTCCCATTACTTAGGAGAGTGTCCATTCCTTCCCCTGGAGAGAAAAATAAGCCTCAGTCCTCCTCTAACACTTAGAACAGGCAAGAGGAACTATCCCTGCAGTCATGCTGTGCTTCTGAAAACTCTGAACAGTGTAGCTCCATATAACATCAAATACAGGATTGCTTCCCCTCCTTGCATTGTGGGATGGCAAGTTCTCACTATCAAACACATACCAAATTTGTCAATCTCAGGCCCCCTACACACAAACAATTCAGTGTTACTGCAATGCCTTATAGCTGTATTTTAAGCCACTGTATATAAAATATTTGATAAAGAATTTACATCTAACTTCTGGGATCCTGAGGGAACATTATTTTAAGTTGTTTACTTCAGACGGTGCAGTGCTGCTTCTGTCAACAACAGTTAAGGTTGAAACCTCTTTTGAATGTTCTACCCATTCTGGCTGACAGGAATTGCACACTGGATGATAAAATGGTTGCATTCTAATCTATGGAATTAAAGGATGCTTGAGCTCAGCCTATTAGTGTAGCAAGTGGCAGATTTTTCCTGCTGATACACATCACTGCTGTTCCCACTATCATGCATTTCATATACATTAATTGCCTTCTAGATGACTGATAACAATCAGACATCAGCATCACCTGTCTCTGCTACACAAGACCACAATGAATTACAACCAAACAGATGTTAGATGCGCCAGAGTTTCTAAGGCAATGATACGTTTCAAAAATACTAATCACAGTTCATATCTTCCAGGCAACACAAACCCTGCTAAGAAACCAACAGGGAGGCTGATATGTTTAAGTTGTTCAAAATTGAACTAGTATACGATACTTCAAAACACAGATTTTTGGATCTCTGTATGATGTAGCATAGCTTTGAATTGTGGTGATGGAGGAGACTCCTGCGAGTCCCTTGGACTGCAAGGCGATCAAACTGGTCAGTCCTAGAGGAGATCAACCCTGACTGCTCTTTAGAAGGCCAGTTCCTGAAGAAGAAACTCAAAGACTTTGGCCACCTAATGAGAAGGAAGGACTCCCTCGAGAAGAGCCTAATGCTGGAAACAATAGATGGCAAAAGAGGGGAATGGCAGAGAATGAGGTGGCTAGATAGAGTCACTGAAGCAGTCAATGTGAGCTTGAGTGGACTCCGGGGGATGGTGGAGGATAGGAAGGCCTGGAGGAAAGTTGTCCATGGGGTTGCGATGGGTCAGATACAACTTCATGACTAATAACAACAACAACATGATGTAGCATAGATGAGAAGATGTAGCATAGATGAGAAGAATAAGTAAATGATAAGTTTAAAAAAGCTTGTGTGTTCTGGAAAATACTACCCTTTGTTGCACTGTAAATTGTTTTTGCTCAGTGTTTCAGTCATTCACTCCTTTTATGTTATTCCCTTTCATTCACTTTTCTGCCCCACCCCCCCCACCCCCGCCCAAACAATTCCATAGAAGACAGCCTCTTCCCATTGGGCTGTTTTTGTCCCTCCTCTTTCATTTTTTGTATTTTGTCTAAAGGCCTTTATTGTATTTCTGAAAATATTGGAATTTCTTCAAACCTGCCAATAACCACCTTTCATGCATTGAACTGTGATGCCTGTTTTAACTAAACAATGATGCCAACTTCTGAGCTTCAGAAGAGAGGGAGCGATGGCAGGCTCCGCCATCAACTTTCTAGTAAAAGTGCCTTTGCCTCTTTTGTCACCCAAGAAGCAGCACTACTCACAGTGGACCTGTTCACATGACACTATATATAACCAAACCATATTTTTAAAATGTGTGGCTCTGTTATGGACATTTTTTGAACCTGAGCAAACTATGGATGTAGACAAGCTTCCTGGAGATTGGGGACTACAGCATGTGCTTTGGACTTTTGTCTATCAAAACACCTGAAAATCTGCCAGAGTTAGGCTGTCAGAGGTAATTAATGCTTCACCCATAAGAGGTACTTTCCAACACTTTTAAGAAGGCAACAAGGAGATTTTCTGTATAACCCAAATCTTGATAATACCAATTAAAAGTTAGTATCCCATCTTCCACTTTGAAGCAAGGTTTTAGAGCAGGTAGAGGTCTTCAAATCCAACCCGTCTTAGAAGAAAGTGATTATCTGGATCTATTCCAATCTGAATTAAAGTCTGTGTACTGGGATGGGTATACCTTGGTCACTGTAGGGAATGAATTATGCTACATAATGGAGGAAGGAAATGCAGACCTAGTAGTCGTTCTTGACCTCCCAGAGGATACTGACATCAGCTATATCAAGGTATCCTTCTGGGGTATTGGTTACACTTCTGTACAACACTGCTGTGGCTCCCTCTTTCTTAAAGGGATGGTTTCAAAAGGCAGTGCTGGGAGAGTTCTACTCAAATGTTGGCATTCATGGTATACCTAAAGAGAGTGCATCAAGCCTTACAAGCTTGCACTAAAACTACTATTATATCCAGACCAGACTAAAACAATGCACTTTTTTGTGGTGCACTTGCCTTTGCAGATAAGTTAGAAAATTCAGGGCTTATTCTGCATCACTTACACCGCTTATGCATGGATTTCTGAGCCAAATTTTTACTGCTGGTTTTGGCATTTAAAGACCTGAACAGCTTGCGGCCAGGTTAAAGGCCTACCTGCATCCATCCTGGTGTTCCAACACTGGCAGCTGAAAGCTATTTGCTGGTCTGACTTTAAGATAAGCTATACTAGGAGATACTATGACAGGTCTTCCATGGTGGTTCTAGTTCAATCCAAGAGATGTACATGGATTAGGCCTACTTCTTTCAAAATGCAGCCTTCTATATCTGGCTCAATGAGAAACTCAATTGAACAGGCATAGTCAGATATGATTGGTCCCACAGTCCAGTCGCTCAAGAGGGCAGACCAACTGAGTAGCATCCTACATGCCCACCCTCTGGTCCAAAAGCAGCAGGAACCACCTACTTGGGGTAGAACTAATTCTTTTCGGTTAGGAAAGGGGGAGGAAGATTCAGTCTGCAATCAACTACTTAGCATTATGTTCTTAGTATTTTCCTGGTAGCTAATATTCAAACTTCACTGATGTCTTTTCTTAATCACTTCTGCAATATGTTTTTTTTAAATCACAAAGCAAGCCTGGTTTGCCAGTTTAACATAACACCGACTACAATAAGAAGCTTGGAAAGTTGGAGGAGTAAGATTTGCTTGCTTGAAGAGTGGGAAGTGGTGGGGAAGACTAGCCTCTGAGTTTGACTACATAAGTTGCAGTATTTCAACAGGCTTCTAGAGTTATTTCAAGGGACTTTAATATATGCCTTATTTGGCATTTTGCTATTTTAATGAAGGAGCTCTTTTTATTTAAGATTGATTTAATTATATTTTAGCATAAAATAATAGGACAAGAAGCCCACAAGTAGGACTTGAGTGGAAAAAACATCCTCCCTGTCATGTTCCCCAACAAGCTGATTTGCACAGGTGTACAGTATCACATAGTGGCAATAATATATAGCCAATATAGCCTTCTCCATGAATCTGTCTAATCTCCATTTCTGTTGTTTAAAAGCATATTTTGGGAGATATGTTTCAACCTGAAAGCTCATGATATTATTTTATGTCATCTGTTGCCTTTGATAGACTATGCAAAAAGGTGGCAATCTATCTGCAGACTTCTGGTGCACCCACTCTGATCTCATTTCAGTACAAGGAAGGGATCCTTTTTATTTTCACTGTTAGGAGTCCTGGAACTTTTAACAGTCATAACCCCTGATGGCTGGCTTTATGCACCCTTTTTATCTGCTGCTTGTACTTTGTTTATTTGAGCATAGATTGCATTTTTGTGTTGTTGCTATTATGCAGTCCTGTGTAAGTATTTCTTATTTTGGGAACACAAATACTTAAAGTAATATAAAGTCACATAGCACAGATTACTAAATTGGGGGCTACTGGCATCAAGTACAAGAAAGGAATTATTGCCAGGAAAACTAAGTAATTCTACAATCAGTTCAAGAGTATGAGAGAACTTCATGTCCTGTTCATGTCCAGTACAAAGTTTTAAATGTGACTAGGATAAAGTTCACCTCTAATTCAAGCTAGAACCAATTATACGTCACAAGAACACGTAAACATGATTTGTGATTATTCAAATTGGGAGGAGAAAAACAACAGCCCACACAGACACCAGATAAATTAATAGACAGGAAAGACAAGGCAGGGTATTGTCTTCCAACAAATCTGCAATAATGAGCCCTTTACCTCCTTGCTCATTACTTCAGCTTTGTGGACAGACAAAAGGAATTGTCTTTTGGAAATGCTTTGAACTGAATAAATTTTTCAAAGCACTTTAAGAATTAGTCTTGTTTTTCTTCAGTATGACATGCCTTTACCTATTATTGATTTTTTTTTAACCCTCAGTACCCAATGTATGTTAACAATCAAGTATAATAGCCATGTACTTACTAACAAAATGCACTAGGACAACATGTTCCCATTTGCCTCACGTACAATAGTACTATGGTTATACTGCCATGGGCCTCTCTTCTTGGCATCACAGTTCATATCTAAAGAGTATAAATTTTTTCCTAGCTCACACAGGAAAGTCAGACAAAAATGTAACATCCATTACAGCAGTAATTTTGTAAACTGCTGCCAATAACAATTGTCAGCAACCACTTTGAAAAAAAAGGACACCAACAGTAAGCAATAAAAGCTTTAAAAAAAAACAAAAGCAAAACATATGAATAGAGCAACCAAATTACCAAGACAATGAATTCCCAAGGATGAATACCAAAACCCATCAGTCTTGGCCTCATGCCCTTGCAAATTTCAGTGCAGTAAATGACATTTGGAGAAGGGCTCAAGTTACAAGAAGCTATTAATGGGATCAGATACTCCTGAGGTTATGGGATGCCAAGCAGTTAAGGGCTTGAAGTGTCCTATACCGGCACCTACAACTGGCCCAGAAACAAATCAGAAAAGAGTGCTATGACATGCTTCCTCTAGATACAGATAGGAGTGTCTGAACAGTAATTAAAGAAAATTGGTCTCTAGGTAATATTAGGATTAGCCTGCTCACACACACTCACCCCCCACCAAGTATTAAAATGGAAGGATAAATGGGGCTGTTTTAAATATAGTGTTACAGGTGGAGGGTAAGAGAAATTAACCCCCCCCCCACAAAATTTAAAGTGTCCCACTGTCAAAACACAAGGGAAAGGGAGATAACTGGACATTTTTGGAGGTAGTTCATACTTCACGTGCCACTACCAAGAAGGCCCTTCGAGCTTACCTTTAAATAGACTTTTGAAGATGGCAAGGAGCAGAAAAGAACATCAGATATTGAGCATAGTGCATGACTCATCTTTATGGCAGTCACGTATAACAGATATCACTCAATTTTTACTAAAGGCCAACTAATGAGCTTCCCTCATGCAAATAATTGCATTCACTGCATTAGAGGTATTAACTTAGAAACCATCAGAACCATTTACATAGGCAGTTCCTTTCAGGAAAAAATAAACACTACTCCATTACTGCCTTGGCCTTTCAAATTTAAGTTTAGATAAAAGTAAACACTACTCCATTACTGCACTGGCCTTTCACATTTAGATTTAGAGCAAGTAAGAGTTAGCAAAATGAAAAAACTCATTATGTTTCTAAAAAAGGACCTACATATAAGGCTTCTATCAGTAATATCCCTATCAGCACTTAACATGTTCTAGCAAGACATTTCTGATATTTAATTGACCCCTTTCTTCCATAGCATTTTGCAAACTAAAAGCATTGTAATTCAGCTTTTCTTTTGAGGATACCAGGCAGTAGCTAATACTGGCAGTCCGTCAGAGCTAAACATGCTACACGGGGAGAAAATAAAATTAGTGCAACAGGGAAACATAACTCTGGAAATCAGCCCAAACTAATGCTTCTGGAATAGGAAAGTCAGTGGAATTCCCTTCCATAAGCATTATTGGCTTATTCCATTCCAAAAGAGTTTATTTAGGATAATGTCCAGTTGTGCTATGTCCCCTCTAGCCCTAGCATTAATTTCTGCTAGCACCACAGCAGCACTGAATAGTGCCCAATGTTTCCAAGAAAATATCCAAAAATACACTGGGTAGTTCCCACAGACTTCTGAGGAGGCAGGCATATTTTCTTCTGTCTAGATACTTTTCTTCAGTGGCTTTTGAGACCCACAGATGAGGACCATAGTAGAAGCAGCCTAACTACTGTACATGTACATCTTCCACAGGACCAGAGTACAAGCTTTCAGTCCCAAGACAAAGAAACTCTACCTAGCTTACACCATGTTTTAGCCAGTCAAGAGATAGTGTTTTCTAAACAAAAACCAAACATCAACACTCACTAGCAGAAGGGAGAAAAACCTATGATTTAAAAAATTAATATTGGATAAACAAATAATCACATTTTTATTTAAACTGGATCTTTTGATTTAAATAAAATTTTGGAAATAAAATGATTTTTGAGAGAAACCATATGTAAAGATAGTTGACTATTTAAGATCTGTTATACTCCAAAGGTGAATCATCATGAAATAGGATTCTTTTTTAATTATGTAGCATGAGACTGTGATATTCATGCAATTTTTAAATTATTTGGTAAATGAATTCCATTCACAATTTCATGCTCTTCTAGAGGTTACTGTAACATAAACATTGATTTATATTATAATTATTTTAACTTATTGTGTAAGCCGCCCCGAGGCTTCGGCGAATGGGGCGGCATAAAAATGTTTTAATAAATAAATAAAATTATTGGGCAGTTTTTCTATCTAGATGATATTATAGATGCTTGATTGTATAGTTCTCAGAACTGTGAATGTGTGTTTGCAGAGATCATATGCCTCCTATTCACAGCAAAGTTGTTATAAAACATACAGACTTGAGGGAAAATACCTTAATCCTATTGTTTCTTTGCAAATCTAAGTACACAGAATCAACCCCATGCCTCTTAAGTGCTAATTTTAAAAAATCAATGAGTAGAAGAAGCTTGTTGGGAATGGAATAGATCTGCACAAGATGCTAAGTGTAAGGAGGGGCAAGCAGTAAAAAGCCTTTTGAGAGAATACTCCACAAATCTTTGAATCTTCTTGTGTCTAGCCTGAGGCTTATCATAATATTATTTTCCTGGAGGAGAAAAACCTATAATGTCAGCAGGCCATAAAAGAAACCCAGTTTGGGAATATTTTAATGAAGTTCCTCTACCCACAGGTAAGGAAGGCATGCATTCAACTTATGTATAAAATCATAACTTAAATCAAATCCACCCTGCTTAAGAGAAACCAAGACAATAGCACCATCCTTGAAATACTTAGAAGTTTGGTACCTAGAAGACTATGACTTTTTTGCTTTGCTGACATAATTTTTCTTTGCATTAGAGAACAACCCAGTCTTATCTGATCATATTAAAAACTGTATATTGTACCAGTGGCAAAATATACATTTAATTTCAGATAAAAGTGTATATACAATTCATTATTTTTTCTGTGAACTTTCCTTCTCCTCTTTTTTTAAATGGAAGAGCTAAGTTTTTATTTCAGTTCTCCTAAACGACACCTGATACAAGAGATTTCCACATGCCCAAACATTTATCTAGATAAGTTGTAGAAAAATGGAGTACAGCGCAAACAGTCTGAACTGTTACAGCTGAAATTACTTATGAAAGCTTAGCAGTTCTCCTCTAGTTTCCAACTAGTGGTAGAGCAACACATTTAGTCTTTTCCCCTGCATAGAGGAAAGCAACAGGGTGGAACAGTGATATGGTGCAGAAATTTTTCATATATATGTATGACATGTTTCAGAGTGAAATGGAACTAAGAAAAATGGGCAGAGAAACTGAAGGTGGCGCAACGTGTTAGTGGAAGAGAGGTGTACTCTATTGAAATAGTGAGTGTTTGTCAGCATATTATGCACACGGTTCTTTGGATTGCTAAAAAATCAGTGTGTTAGCCATTTCAGTGACTAAGTTTATTTCCCCTGAACAACAGAAAGGAACTACATGCTATTTTTCATTTTTAAAATTATATTTTATAGAAATTTTCATTGAAATAACGGATCACATTGTGTGCTTTCCTTTTTTCTGTTCAGATGTTTTAGGTTAAATAACTCAATCCTATGCGAGTTTAGACAGAAAAAATGCCAATATTGGCTGGGGCATGCTGGAAGTGGAAAGTGTTTTTCCTAAATCAATTGGTATAGGGTTGTACCTTAATGAGTCAGCAGCTCTCCAGTCCTCAGCTGCCATTTAAAGCAGAAGGGCCAGAAGTACAAAGAAGGGAGGAGTTCAGGAGCAGAGCCAGCAGACTCCTGAAGGGAGCCTAGCAGATCTAGAAGCATTTGGATGTATCATGTCCTACTTCACTCATATCAGGAACTATATGAATATCCAGTTGCTAAGTCTGACCACTGCGACACCTTGTACCTAATTAGTTCCTTCCTTTCAAATTCTGCACTATTTTTAGAAAAGTTGTTCTAAGTACTTACCATATATATGAAAAGAGGCACAATGCTCTGTAACGCTCCCATATACTGCCCAAGTGCTATGTTAAACCTTTCAATGTAGAGATCTGGAGGGCTGGCCTGCAAGAGAAAAGCAGATACCTTACTTAAATGAAGAGAACTGTCTTGGAGTAACCAGGCTGGACTTGCAGATTTTAAGAAGTGGAAAAATGCAACTTAAATCGCTAAATAATGCAGAAGCCAATGTCACTTAGGATAGTGTCGTGCACACACAACAGATAGACAGCTTCTCGGGGCCACACTAGAACTCAGTGAAGTGTGGGGAAGCATCTTGTTCTGAAAGGAAAATGCATACTATGATTTGCTGCTGAAAGTCTGTGGTACAACACCAAAAGAAAGGGCCGTTTCTCCTTATTTTGCTGCTGTACCACCAACTTTTGGCAACAAATAACAAATGGATTCCATAAAACAAGGAAAAAAATCAGCCCTTCCCCTTGATCAAATTTCTGCAGCAAATTCAGTGGTCTGGGGGCTTCAAAAAAGGCCAGAGATGAACATAGCCAACACTTGATCTGTAGCATTTAGTCTGTAATTTTTCAAATTTCTCTTATCAAAGCCTTCCCAGCAAACCTAGATCAAGAGCAACTTTGCAAATACTACATAAAGATGCCAGACTTCCACAGTATCTGCTGGCATCCTAAGTACTAGTAATAGGAAACTCATTCCCTGAGTATAGGTCCTAAAGGCACCAGTATGACACCACCCATGTACAACAGGAAGGTATCAGCACGTTCGGTGTGGGCAAGGGGGTCCTGTGGGTTTGCAGTAATAAAAATCTTAAAGAAAAAATCTAACATGGAATGGCATATCCAAAGAAAGCCCATTAAAGATGGAACATGCTCAGCAATCTCAGAACACCAAGAGTCTGCTGGAAGAAAAAAAGAAAGAAAATGGGTAGGAGGAATGAAGCATTTTTAAAAAGCATATGCCTAGCTAGAACACTGAAGAGCACCTCAAACTACTTGATTTTGTTATAGAGTTTGCTTGTAACATTCAGAACAGGATATACATTTTATTAAACATTTTTTAAAATCTCAAGTACCTTAACATTTAACTGTAGCAAAAGAATCTGTAAATAACATATTGCTCTTCTGCAGAAGCTCCATTTAGAAATATGGGATTTCGTCTATATTCTATTCTACATTCACATTGCAATTCTGACCTACTTACTAGCTTAAACATGCATTTAGCAATTAGAACTTGGTCTTGCTGGATTCTTTCATGAGACAAGACATTTGGTCATAGTATTCTGACATTTGGTCAGAGTCAGCATAATGTAATTCTAAATTCTAAAGAGGTGCAGCTTTAACTTCTTCACTTGTCATTGAAATGACATCAAAATTTTCTAGTTATTCTTTTAAATAATGACAAATCTCAGGCATCAAAAAAGTCACATATACCACTCATGGAGCGAAGCTGGTCTAGAATAAGCTACTGTCAAGACCACTACAATTTGGTTTAACTGTGGCTTTGACAACATGATTTAATACTTGACACAGTAAGCCGCATCCACAAGGTAATGCAACATGAGATCACATGGTTGTTGCTGCACACAAACCACCATGATGTGGCATAAACTGTTGTCACACACACACCCAACTCCCTACCCAAGCAGCCATCTTTGTAGACTCTAGGATAGGAGTGAAAAACTTGCAGCCATACAGAAGTTGTGTCCTATCACCCCCTACCACTGGCTAAGCCAGCTTAGATTGCTAGAAGTAGTTTAACAACTGGAAGGCTACCACAAGCCCACCCCTGGAGGTAGGCAATTTGCCTACCATGCTCTCTATCTTTCCCCACAAAAGACAGGTTTGCTCCATAAGGAAGGTACCACTGGAAAGTAATGTTTCAAAACAAGCTGTACATTATCACTGGAAAGGGATTCTGAAACTTGGTGAATTCACATGACATGACAACCAGTCCTGGGAATAAGCTACAATGTGTTCAAGGAACAGCCCATGCCACCTGACAAACCACTACATTTTCTGTGCATTGTTATTCCCGATTTCCCCCACCGAGCCCTCCTGCCAGTATCCCAAGGAATCTGTCAAAGAATCCCTCTCCCACCTCTGAGAGCAACCACTTTTCAATAGTGGTATTTTCGGGGATTTGGGTTTTACCCACAGCCCCATACCCACAACAGCCACTCCAAGAATGCCCATACCATCACTGGTTCATTACTTTAAAAAAAATCGTGGCACAAATGGCAGCAATAGTGTAACTCATTTCCCTTGTTCCTGCTCTGCATTACATAAGCATGAGCCTCTCATTATGCTCATCTCCAAAGTACTGCATCCCCAGGTTTAATACATATAATGTACATTTCTATTCAGAGTGGTTTTTATTAATTTTTCTACTTTTCCAAAGATTCATTTAAAATGCTACTTTGATGATGCATATATAAGCAATACCTAGCTTTCTTGCATAAATAGATTCTTTGAATAGATTTGTATTAGTTGCTCGAAATAACAGAACAATTTCGTGACAAATCAGACTAAGAGGGTCATGTTTCCACCAGATGCTTAAACAAGCATAAATAATACCACTGGCAAGGTTTTCTGGTACAAATATTGGAACAGGTAAATATAGCTAATTTTCCAGCATGAAGAGCAACTTTGCTTAAAAAGTAGCACATCAAACATGCAGCTTGCAAGATAGATCTTTATGCAGGAGACAACATCTTTTGGATGGCCCTGGTGACCAAAAGCTTGGCACTGCCAAAAACTGACTATGTTGGAAAGGGTGCAGCCTTGATTCAAACCACATGCAAGGTCAGAAACAATAACCTGCACCTTTTCTGTTCTGACTCTGGCTTGACAAAAGAGCATAGTCAGCCATTGGTGAGGTCTGGGTTATCAGGTGCCCATTATGGACCTGTTTGTCCCCAGAATTCAACTCTATGTCAAAACCAGAAGACAGTCATGTTTGCTAGGAAGGCAGGAACAGAATGGAGCACTCAAAAGAAATGATAGCAACAGTGAATACTCTGAATGGTGCTGTGATTAGACTGCCTGTATGTTTCTCTAGTAAGCAGTGGATCATGGCTTTCTTTAGACTAGTTAGTTCCACCTTCACACAGATGGCGGCTCTCTCTCTTAAGGGGATGGGCTGCTTTGGCTGTCTCAGGCATACTATGACATGAGGATGTTCCACAGCTGGAGTCTGAAGACAGCTGGAGGAGGAGGGAAGGTCCCTGCAGTTTTCCAAGGGTATCAGGTCACGCTAAAGCCTCCTGATGACTTTCTGAAGCCCTCTGCCCCAACCACTAACACAGGAGTCTTTCCTGGTTAATGAGGGGGGAAAAAACATAACCCTCTGAAGATGGATCTTGGGATATTTGGGATCTTGTACTGTAACTGCTCCCAGTCCGGATTATGGAAGGATGATGCTATTCTACACAATAGCACAACAAGTCCCTGCCTTCCTCACCACTCCAGCTTGAAACTAAAGTGAGATCAACCCTGCCTGTCGCTTTGCACTGTACTCGCACAGTCCAGCGCCAGAACAAATCTCCCCAACTCTGGGGCTGAAGTGGGGTGCTGAGATTATCGTCATCTCCTGCACTGCACTGGTTGGGAAGAAGCCTTGGGCTCCAACTTGGCAGACACTGGCTGAGCAATTGCCATGGCAACCCAGGGTGAGCTCTGCGTTTATTTTGACAGGATTTATGTTCAGTTGGCTATATGCACATAACCAAGTGGAAGAAAATTATATTTTAATTTTGCCTTAGAGAAAATGTCCTCAAGAGGAAGCAAGAACAGTTTATACCACAGACATGTAATCAAATGCAAAATACATTCAAGCAAGTGTCATTTGTATGCTTTTTTTCCTATCAATGAAGTAGTTCCTAAGCTTAAAAAAATTGAGTAAATTGCTTTCTCTTAATGTGGGCCATTTGAGTGAAAAGTTATGCAAAGTTATTATTTATTAAGGGAGAGAAATAGATATTCTACAACAATTCTACATGAGGATAAACAACAACAAAATCAACTGCCAGTGGAAAGGTTTCACTCCAATACCTTTCTCATTAAACAGAAGGATCTACAAATATGACTGGTTCCCAAGCTGTATAGTATATTGTACCACAACGCACATATTTAGCAAGCCAATAATCTAATAATGTCCTGCTAAAATGTTTTTGAAATGCATAATACTTGTGTACAAAACCAGAAATCCAGGGAACCACAGAAATAAGATTTTCTCTACTGCTCGGCATTACAATACAATCAACCTGCCATGAGAATAAATACATTCTGTAAAGTTACCACTGAGTTGTAATGGTGACTTTATCTACCCTTTATCTACCCTTGGATTCAAACTAAAATCATACTAGCGCTTGACAAAATCCAATGCTTTTATAAAGTAAAGCTTTTTAAAAGACACTGCTTCAAATCAAAGCTCTGCAACTGTTGGAGAATTTAACTTACAAATTAAGTAATGTTACAAGCATGCTTATGAGTGTTCAACACGTTTAAGTGTGAAGTATTTCTATACAACAGCAAATAACTGAAATGCTTCAATTACTTTCAAATCTTAACAAGGCAATTCTGCCAAACTACAATTCATTTCACCTGGCTTCAAATTCATTAAGGCTAAGAATAAGACAAGAAGCTGTTTCTATACATTGTGACTTGTTAGGCTCTCCTCTACACAGTACACCCCCGTAAGCCTCTTATAATCCATTCATGAAGACCAGAGGGACTCTCCAAATGGAGTAGAGTAAGGGGTGAGCAAACCCATTCACATATGGTGGTGATTCAAGTTTCATCAATAATAAATAAATAAAATATTTTAATAAAAGCTTTTCTATCCCATCCCCTACAAACGTCTCGGGATGGCTTACAATAAATAATATGTAATCCCAATTGACTTCTATGTTACTCTTCTGAGACATGTAACTGATTGACAGCCCCATCTGAAAAACATCCTAGATCTGAAAAACATATGCCCATAATTAAACCCAATATTAGAGCTCTTAGAGGTGGCCTAAAAGTAACTCTGAACTTTAACTTTTCTTTTAAAAAAACTAGTTATAATTTGGTATATAAAAAGGTAATGTACACAAAGGCTACAGTTGTGCAGAGAATGCAGAAAAATGAGAGGAAGGAAGTAAACTATGTAACTAAGTGTCATAATGGGAATATGCCTTGGGATTGGTAAAGGCTATGAAGTCTGAGCACATCCTCCACCTCTGTCCAACAGTATGGACAGCTTGATTTTTGGAAAACATTACATTCTGTGAAAGCATTCTGCTGCCATCTACAGTACAAACAAGAAAATGCAGAACCGGAATTTTTATGAAGTGACAGAATACATAAACCACATAATGCAAGTGTTGGGCTAGGTTCAACTGGAACTCATGAGTTCTACAGATTCACAGCAGAAAACAAGTTAGTGCTTCATTGCTCAAGCCTGTAACTGCTAAAATGCTAAGTACTATTTCATATTCTGTTCATCATACGGTGGCCAACCAAAGCCTAGTGAGAAACCCACAAATAGAGCAAGAGTGCAATAGCATCTTCCTTGCATGCCTTTGCTGCTGGTATTTAAAGGTACAATGCCTCCAATACAGGATACATATAATATAATCATTCTTAATAGTAACAATGAATAGCTTTCTCCTTCATGAATTTCTCTAATACCCTTTAACAGCACTCCAGGATGTTTGTTGTCACTAAATCTTATAATAATGTTACTATATGCTTTGAGTATTACTTCCTTTTATCTGTCCTGAATCTTCTACCATTTGCCTTTACTGTGTGATCCCAGATTCCTAACATTGTGAGACAAAGGAAAAAAAACCTAAACTTCCCCCTTTCCATGTCCTCTACACCATGCATATCATTTTATGTACCTCTATCATGTCACCCTTTATATTTCTTCTAAGCTGTTTTTACTGTGTATTTTTATATATGGAAATTATGTCTTATCTAATGTGCTGCTATGGTTTTGGTCTTTGGTAAGCCATCCAGAGAGCTGTCTCAGATATAGATGGAATTAAAATGTTTTAAAGATAGTCCCAGACACTGTAGCCTTTCCTCATAAGATGCAGCAGCCTCTTGATCATTTTGGTTGCCCTTTCCTGCACCTTTTCTAGTACCATAATATCCTTTTTGAGGTGCAGCTAGGGATGAATAAGGGATTAATCTGAATCAAATTCAGATTTCTGTGAATCCCATAGGTAGATTCTAAAACACATTGCCTTTGTCCCAGTCACCTGGACTTAAGAAAACTTGCAGGGAGATCCACACTAGTGTGAAAAAAAAAATTATACACCCATAAAAGAAACTGCATTCCATCTGTGAGCATATAATGGAACAAATGGCAACTAACTATCTGCAAAACGCAAACAGAATGGATTTAATAAAATCCTTACATCCCTATGTCAGCAACCAGAACCATATTCCTTGTGATTGAAACAGACCTGTAGAAAGACAATGGGACATTGGCATTTGTTTTCTATTCCCTTCCTAATGAATCCCATTGTAACTTATTTTACCATAGAATATTTTCTGCTCTGGGCAGATTCTGAGGCAATTTATCTCACCCTAGCTTGCTTCCTTAGGTTTGCAAATTAAACAACTGATGGTGTATTTTAATCTTTATGAGGAGTTAGGAAAGCAGAGGCTGAGAGGGCAGAGAGGCAACTCAGTATCCCAATGAGATCTGCCAGAAGAACTATTTAAACTGCCATCAACTCAGTAGCAGCTGAGCTAACAACAATGGTTGACTCTTCTCATTTCTAAAGATATTTAGGGCAGCTTTAGCACTGATGATAAGCTGGGGCATCAAACCCCCATTTAAACAAGTTTGCAAGTATGCCCACAGAGTGCCAGGTTAAAAGAAAGCAGTAAGGACTCTCCCAAAGATCTCAAATTGCACAGCGATGATAGGAAAGGACATTGTTTTGCAACTCCAACAGATCCACACTTGACCCCACACTCATTCCCAGCAAATCCTTGCTACGAAGTTTCACCAGGCAATAATACATCAGTACTACAAGAACAACATCAACCCCATTTTAGATATCAAGGAGGTGGCTTCTGAAATCACTTAATACCCGCCTCTCCATCTTCAAGCAGGCCCGTGCTGATCTTTATCACAAGTTTTGGGTCTAGGTGTACAAAAAGGTAAAAGGAAGAGGAAGACCCTAAATACCAACAAGAAAGGATTAGCCATAAAAACCTTTCACTGGTTGATACCTCTGGCAATACTTTTGGAATTCTTCCCATACAGTGATTGGGTTCAAATGACATACCAAGTCACCATGGCTTCAAACCTGGGATGGTTTTGTCAGAGTGGCTTACATTTGGTTTATATGCCCCTTTTAAAGCCACGGCCTGATGTACTGATTGTTTGCCCCATCATGGCTTGCCATGTCTTCTGAACCTACTTCTCAGTCTCTTCCTGCTTCAAACTATTCCTATGCAGTTCCTGCACTGGACACCCAAGTTCAAATCGCACCTCAGTTTCACAGGTGAATGTTTGGGTGTCTTAGTTTAGCTATCATCAGTTCAAATCCATATATGTGCATGTTATGGTCAGCCTGCAGTAATCCACTCAATGAGACCATACTGATTCCATCTTGCCCAGGTGCCACAGACAGAAACCTCCCTTTTGCAATAATCTGCAGGTCTCTGCTTTAGCAAAAGGCCAGGCCCCCTGACACAGGAATGCAGATGACCTGGCTGAGATCCTCTACAGGCCAACCACTGCCACTTAACCAAAATATTCAAAAGTAAACTGTCCAGGTGCCTGAACAATAAGAATCTTCCAGCATCCATCTCAGAGCTGAGGATGAGGCATTACAGGATAATCAACAGACAAAACCCCAAGAGATTGTTCTGAAACTTCTATCCAGCTGAGGCAAAAGGCACTGTCTCACTGTAAAAGACATTTTGAACATAGAAACATGCTAAATAGTTTATTTGGTTACAGAATGTGAATTTATTATCTGCTTTAACGTTTTGGTAGGAGAACAAATTGACTATAAATGTGAAACATTCAACAAAAAGACAGTGACAGGATTTGTCTCTGTATTACTGTATTTTCCAATGCAATGAGCAGGTAGAATCCTATTGTAAAGTGATACTTTGACCTTTAAAGCCTTAGATGATTTGGGAATAAAGGACTAATTTCAGCCTGCCCACACTTTAAAAATCAGCAAACTAAATCCTTCTCATTTGCTAACTTTTGAGGTCAGTTAGATGAGTAAGACTATGGGAGAGGAACTTTTCTGCAGTGACCCCACACCTCTGGAGTAAGTGGACATCAAGAATCTATGAGGCCCCTCCATTGTCGGCCCTGAAAACTTACTATTTCGCTTTGGCCTTCCCCTGATTATGTTTTATCATACTGGATTATAGCTGTAATTGTGCTATAGCTTTTGTCTTTTGCTGCTGTTACTTTTAGAAAAGTTTGCCTTTATTACTAAATCAGTTTTTACTGCTATAAGCCATCTTGGGAGCAATTCTATCCTGAAAGGTGTCTAAGAAAATATGTGAAATAAATAAAAACAAGGGACATAGAAACAACTGGCTTTTGTCCCTATTAGTACAATTCCATGATGCAGAATTAACCCCTACCTTCCCAACGCCAGAGAGTGATGACATCTCAATTGTTAATTTAAAAAACTATAAAGCAAAGCCTTTCTTTACTGGGAAGCCTAAGCAACAATGTAGGAAATTTACCAACCACAGTTAAAACTGGAGCTCCATTAAAATGTTTTGGATCATGAAGAAAATAATATTCCATTAGTGTATCTTATATATACTAGAAAATTTTGAGTCTTATTTGAAAGTGCATAGTGTCAAGGATTTGAAAGTAAAAGTTGGATCTCTCTCTTGCCCCCTCCCTCGCTTTCCCCTCCCCCCCTCCCCCCACACACACACTGCATTGACAACTCACAAAAGCAGAACAGGACATGAAACTACATTGCCTCTGACATTCCAGGCTGAACAGGAAACTGACTAACAAGATTTCTATTACCCCTCACTTGTACACTTGTCTTAATTTACTTCCCACTTCCCTAATGTCATGTTGGCTAATATTTATCAAGGAATATCAACATCTGTACATGTAATTACTTGAAGCTCAGTGTTCAGATCAGGTTGTAAGTAAATGTTTACCCCATCACATATGGTAAGAAAACATTAAATTTAACTGAAGAGGAAAAGAAATTTCTGTGAACTAGAAGGGGGTGGTTTCTTCTTAAGCTGGTCATGTGGTCACAAACATGTTTGACCATGTAAAACTGTAATATCTAATTTGTACTGATAGCCTTGAATGCAAGCTAATTCAGAGAGTCACAATCAAAAGTTAGCAAATGGTTTTGGGGTCACTTTCAACAAAGAAAAATTGAGATGTACCCAGGCAAAATTCCAGTAACACCTGCTCCCTTTGAGAAAGTGTTGACAAAGTGACAAGAAATCATGCACTACACATTAAGCAAGGACAAGACACTCAGTGCCAGTGGATGTGTTTAAAAATATCCATGCAGAAAAACAAATCATTTTTTAAAAATTCAGACACATCAGTAATTGTCCAGGGTATTGTCCATTTTTACAGTATCCCAGGTTCATTCAGATATGCCTAGGTTTCAGAACCAGTCCTTTATATATATTAATTTTGGTTCATGACAGCATTTGAAATATATGACCTACACACACACACTTTATTTTCCTAGAATAATCCAAAAACTAATGTGCTGCACATCAAGTTTTACTATGTCCTAAATAAGTAACAGCTGTGAAAAGAGTATCAAATCAACATTGGTGTGCAACACCCAGGAAAATGCCAAATCTCAGGAAAACAAAATTGTGCAACTTACCTGCAGCTCCTTTGAGACTCTCTCTAAGTGGTTAGTTATCTTTTTTATTAGGTCACTATACATCTGTTCCGAATGCTGCTGGCACACACATTTATACACACAACTGCAGAAATAAATACAGGAACAGTGAATTGACAACAGTTTGCAGCAGGAACGGGGAACACATGAAATATTAAATTCAGCTTTAAAATCTTAAATGAAATTTCAGCAATATGTATCCTAAATAAAGATCTCATTGCGGCAGCAGATTCTCACAGATAACTCTAAAAGCCTTGAAAAATTAAGGCTGCCTTTACCTATAAGGATTTCAATTATTATAGGTTGGTTGTGAAATTGCTAAAAAGAACATAGATGACATTCCTTATTAACATAGGCCACTTTATGAATATGCACTTCAGCCATGGCCCACATCCAATTATGCAGCTCTTCCAGCTTTACTGCAATTCCAAAGGAGACTTCACATCTTTAATGACAGTCAATGCAAGGTAATGTTTACTCTACTCAACTGAAACTCAGGATTCTAGTACCCATTCAGCCATGAAGACCACTGGGTGACTTTGGGCCAAACACTGAACTTCAATCAAACCTACCTGACAAGGCTATCGTAAGGATAAGAGTACAGAAGAATCATATGCCAGGCAAAAAGTCAGGAAATAAATGTAATAAAAGAATAAAGAGACGGATATTTATGCCAAAAATGTACCATATTAACTATACAGCATTATTTTCCCCAAGGACAGGGTTATTATTAAAGACTAGATCCAAAGTCAGTCACCTGTTAGTCCCACTGAAATCACTGGGATGTTACTTATGACTATCTTAAATCCTACTGACATATGCTCAGTTACCTTAGCTAGCCAAATCTAGATCGTCTCCTATGTTTAACTAAAGGATTAACAACTAAAGGCAAACCAAAACCTAGCTGTCAGCTTTCCACTGAATGGTAGCTGCAAACCAGAAAGAAAATAGATTCCACAGAAGTATCTGTTATCACAAAGATCTGGAGACACCATCCCTGAATAACAGCTGATCATTTCCTACCTCCACCCTCTGAGATAAGCAATAACAGAAAGGATTCTATCTTGAGAACTGTACTCTGCTATATATGCATGGTGACATTTCAGTATTATGAACTGGCTGAAATTCCTTTAAAATCACAAAGCATAGGAAATATAAAACTGATCCTGTGCCCAGAACTAAAAAGTATAATGCAAACTGACTGGAATCAAACTGACCAAAACCAAAAGATAAATCTTTATTTCTAAATTAACAGTGTTAAATAAACCACAATATCTGAAGTCTTCATTACCAAATTTCAGCATTTTAATACTTTCCATAAACAAACAGCTGCAAACACTGCACAACAATGATATTTGACCAAATTATAATACATGCAAGCCTCACAACTCAACATAAAGCAATGGTAAATGGAAAACAAACTTATTTTTCCCAAATTTCTTACACGATTGTTTATTCATTTGAAAAAACTCATTTGAATGTTTAGGTATTTATGCAGAAAGACAATTATCCTAAGTCCAAGTACAAGGACACTGTCAAACACACATTTGACTGTTCAGTATAATATTCACTACAGGCAATATTATCAACATTATACATCATGTGAACAATCAGCAGGTTAGTCACCTCTAAGACCCAGTGAAAGTAATGCAATGGCCTCCAATGCTAGGCTTTCCAGTGCAACATAGGAGACTCAGATTAGTCCAGATAAAAAATGGCATGGAAATGTACAATTGCTAACCCCAGCAGATCTCCAATTCATGTCAAGGAAAGCAGAAAACAATGACAAGAATTTATTTATTTATTAAAACATTTCTATGCCGCCCCTTGCCGAGACCTCGGGGCGGCTTACAACATCAAATAAAAAACAAAAATTATAACACCGATACTGCAGCATCTGTTCCTGGAGTCCTTCAGAATCATACCATTTTACTGTGGCTTTCATCTTTTTCTATTAAAGGTTTAAGAAGTGAAAATGGAAAATTCTAAAGTACACATACTCAACCAGCCCCTGCTGGCAAAACTGCCAGCATGAAAACTGTATATGCTATTAGCACCAAAACTGAAAGGGCCAGGTAGTCAAATCCTGGCTTTTGACAAAATCACTGTGCATTCCATTAGCAGCAACTTTCCTCCTGCCTTCTCATTTCATTCGTCTTGATCCGTCATTGTTTTAACTCATGGGACTTAAGATGTTTCTCCCAGTCTTCTACAAAGAAGAACAATTCCGCAACCATCTTTTAAAAATTTGTTTGACTTGAAGATTGCTCTTGTTAAAGTAGTGTGGGTTGCAGCTTTTAAACATTCTTACCCAATTTTTAGACCATCTAAGATCACCAGGCAAGACCACTTCCAAGTTGACAGATACAGGCAGACAATCATTGTGATAAAATATCTAAAATACGTACAAATATTCCTCCTGTATAATTCCTCCTTTCTAACATGCTTCTGATTAACATCCACAAACTATACCAGATGTATCTAGGTATAGTTAACATCTATTTATGTTAAGTAGATGTTTACAGCAACACAACAGCCTTCTGCAAATTTAGTAATGCTGATTATTCCACTTGTAAATTAACTAATTCAACCACACCTTGTTAACAGAGTGTTCCTCAATCCATTATAACCTGCTTACCTGGTCCAAATCACATGATGCACCATTGTGGATTAATTAACCCTAAGGATGCCACAACACATGCTGCCCACTATTATAAGTATGCAAGTTTTAGCCAGGGTTTGCTGTGGCTTCTCATGTCAGGCAAACCCAGAGTCTACTTTAGGGTTATGCAAGTGTTGTTTAACCTGCACTGGTAAGGTTCATATAACAAAACTAGCTGTACCACACCATGAATGACATATTCATAATGATAGCTGCTGTACAGTGAGATCCTCACAGTTAAAATAACTCATAATGAGCTGTCACATCATGCAAACTAGTCCACTTTTGGGTGCAATCTAGCAGGGATTTCAATAGGCATCCAAACCCAGAGAATTACAAGCATCCATGCAAAGCAGGAAGAGCACGGAGATGATCTTTGCCTCCCTGCTTCTCCCACCCTGCAAGTACAATCAAATTTGAACATCTAGCTGTAGTGATTCCAACAGAGGAAAGGAAGCCACACCAGTGCCTGGATACATCATATTCTTCTCATCTCAGAGAAGCAGCCGACAAACAGGGATCTAGAAAAAAGATGCTGCCTAGAGGGACATTGGATCATTCTCTTAAAAGTTTAAGGATATACTAAGATTGACCTTTTACAAGTCAGGTGTCATGGGATAATGAACACAGTCAGCTTTTATTCCAACCAGCAAAACATATGAGCAAGCAGATCAAGATATAAAGGGGTCCCAACAGCCTGCCCTCAGTGCTTTCACTCTTGAGCAGCATGAGGCTGGAGTTATATCATAACCTATGCACATACCAGCAGAAAATTATGCAAAGCTCTGTAGAAAACAATCTTTGCTGGTTGACCATGCTCGGCTCTTTACTATTAACTGAGAAGCAGCTTTTGTAGATGCTCCTGAGCACATGCAGGAAGAATGCCTTGTGACCTATGCTCACCACTACTGGAAAGCTACTTCCTGTAGTTTTAAAGAAAAAGGGAAATTCAGCATTTCTAGAGTCTTTGCAACACAAGCTTTCAGTCCATAGACTGTTTTGATTACTGAGCAAATTTATCTTCAATATGGATTGATAGTACATTCCAGAAGCATGGTCTCCATGCTCAACCAATATGTTTTTATTCAATGCTTCCACTCAGACATACATATTTAGTAACAGCTAATATGTGTAGAAGTGGATGATTTTGCTCTCCTTTTTATAATTTTTTTCAAGCACAAATTCATTCAATCCAAATTCTGCATCAGTTTGTGATTTTTTTTTACATCCACATATTCATACATTTTTGAAAGCAAATTTCCCTAATGTACATATTTTTGCATAACTTTTCCCTAGTATGACCTGTTGTACACTATTTTCCTTTAAATATGAATTTCTGATACGCAACTGTCATTCATGCATGCATTTTAATGAGAGAACAAGCTGCAAAATTTGCAAAAAAAATCCAAAATAATATATGTTCAGGTTCATATATCAATTTAGAAAGTGTAAATTAAGAGTTTTTATTAAAATGTGAAACAAACAAAATTTGCTCCCATATGTAGGTGTGAGCAGCACCTTTCCCTGTATGAAGCTTACTAAAAGTGATGAAACTAACCACAAGAACATGGCTCCTCAGGTGCTGGTTACAGCAAGATGCTTGGACTATATTCCACCAATGCTATGTATAAACCACATGAGTGTTCCATAAAAACTGAAAGTGCTAGTTTTCAAAACCTAAACATTTTGGAGACAAGTTATTTGAAGGGTCACTTATGCCCATATAAATTGGACTAAAGCTTCAGAGGAACATCAAAGGCCCTGCTTCAGTGATATGCCTTTAAGACTGATTCAATTTGAAAATACTAGGTACAGGGCTTTTTCAATTGTGGCCTCTAATTTGCGGAACTCTCACCAAAGGGATACACAGCAGAAAGGCACTGCTAGTCTTGTCAGTTTCAAATAACTTGAAACTTAAGTGATTTTAGTGGGCATACTGCTGATTTATAACTGTGGTTTGTGAGAATTGTGCTAATTCATTTATTTTTAATGTAATATTAAATTAATGCATTTAAAGTTTTTTTTACTTTCTGTTCAGAGGACTTTATCTTGAAAAGCGGCCAAAATATATTAAAACCAACGGTATCAATTTGCTTTACTGTAATTCCTGGCTGGGGCATACGGAAGTTTATGGTACATTTTTCTAACTAAATATAAAAAGGCATGCACCCTAATAAAACTACAATAAGCTCTGAAAATACTTTATTTTGTTGGTGGAACTGCAGGGTTGCTTTCAACTGTATGCTCTGAAGGTGTGCAAAGAAGCCCTGTATGTTTCATGCTACAGCAGAATGAGAAGCAAGATTAGCTTAAAACATTTATGCACAATGATTGATTTGTTTGCCCAATAAGTGTGAAAACATATTAGTTCAAATTTATTGATCTTACTCTTCTGTAAATTAAGGACTTAAATCCTTCAGTGTAATGTCTTTAAAAATCCCATCTTCATTTATTATACTCATGCCCAGCCTCTCAACCTTAAATCTCCATAATCGAAGAACCAAACAATCTAATGCTTGAATTATTATGTAATACTAATAAATACTGGCTCATTAAAAACAGCCACAGACTATATTTATACAACTGTTATACAGCATGGTTTAGAAACAGAAACATCGAATGCTAAATTATAGAAAGCTTGTCAGCTTACCTGTATATTTGTTCATAGGAGATGGGGATGTAGTCACCAGGACTCTGAGTTAAAAGCTGATCTATGGCACTATCCAACTTTGGCCAGTATGTGCTCTTATAATCTTCTATAGTTATAACATTCATCACTACAAGAAAAAGCAAAAAAAATGTTCTTAGTGTACTAAGAATACAAATCAAGCTCTGGTCATCCTTCTGAAGATATGAAAAATATTGCCAAATCATTTCCTGATCCAAATAGAACTTTAGGCTGAAATTCCACGCTCACTTACATGAAAGTAAACCCCACATGCTATAGTTACTCCTAAACAAACATACACAAGGCTGTGCTGCATGTGAAGTTTTGGAGCTATGTGAGCAGGACAGAGGGCATGCGAAGTTTGCAAAGATTTCCCTTAAGACTGGCACCTCGACCCCTATTTTTTGTGGATTAAAAAAGGCTTACTGCACTTCCCTTCCGCTCAATCAAAACTTATTCCGACACACATTTTCCATTGATGACATTAGTAGCTAAAAGGATACCCTTGGAAAAAGGGGTGGATCGATGCAACAGATCTTAGCTCCCTGACCGCGGAGGAAGGGCGCATCCATGCATGCACGCGCGGATAGGATCTCACTCACAGAACTTGGAGGCCGAAGCGTTGATGTTGAGGTTGATGCTGGCCGCGGCCACCCCTTTGCTTGGTGTGTCGCAGCCCTTTCCTTGCCCGTTGGCGGCCTCGGACATCATGTGGATCTCCAGTTCCTCCTGGGCTGGCAGCGAACACGCACTGCGGAGCTCTCCGGGACAAGGGGAGGGGGGAGGCCGCGGCTGTCCGTAACTTCCCCCTCCTGCCGCCGCCGCCGCCGCCGCCTCCCAGTTGTTGTGGTTCTGGTCGTCCATTAAGGCCTCGTAGCTGCTGCTGCTGCTGCTGAGGCTTCCTCCGCCGCCTCCGCCGCCTCCGCCGCCGCCGCCCCCCTCCTCCTCCATGCTCTCCTCCTCCATCCCGACCACAGGCCTGCAGGGGCCCGCTCTGCCCGGGTAAGGGAGGAGGGGGCGGGCAGGGAGCAAGGGGAATGTCACAATCGGTTCCCTCCCATCGCAGAGCGAGAAGCGTCACGTCTCCGGGCTACAGAGAACTGCAACTGTCGACCGCTCCGGTGAGGGTTGCAGCCGGAAGCGGATGCGGCCCAGAGCCGTAAAGCGACAGCCGCGAGCACGACTTTTTAAAATGTCTTTTCGCACCGTTCTTTACGGCGTCTGCGAGGCCTGGCACCTTGGCCTTGCAGGGGGTTCTGGGAGTTGTAGTTTTATAGGCTTTCCCCAGTCGAGCAGGAGCTCTGTTGTCACGAAGCTACAGGTAGAAGTTGAGAGGGCTGCATGTGCAGCCACATGGCGGTTTCGCTTTAAATTTCTACTCAGCTTCATGTATTTTTCTTCATCTCCCTCTTGTAACGCCTAATACAGAAGCCTATAGTCATTTCAGATATACATTTTGACGGGAATTTTTCACAGTCTGTGCTGTGTCCCCACTCTTTTAAGAGAAGTGTTTCTGTTCAGGAGAAGTAGAGGACTTGTAGTGTTGTGAGGGTGGCCAATATATGCACACGCACACACATCACTTCCCCACTCAAAAAAAGGATAAAACATGCCCATTTGTAAGCAGGGATGCAAATTTAGGAATGATTAAAAGGTAAAAGTAAAGGTTTCCCCTTGACATTAAGTCCAGTCATGCCTGACTCTAGGGGGCGGTGCTCATCTCCGTTTCCTAGCCGAGGGAGCCAGCGTTTGTCCACAGACAGTCTCCGTGGTCATGTGGCCGGCATGACTAAACACCAAAGTGCACGGAATGCTGTTACCTGCCCACTGAAGTGGCACCTTTTTATCTACTTGCATTTGCACACTTTCGAGCTGCAAGGTTGGCAGGAGCTGGGACGGAGTAACGGGAACTCACTCCGTTGTGCAGTTTCAAACCGGCAAATTTTCAATCAACCAGCCCAGCAGCACAGCGGTTTAAACCACTGCGCCACCTGCATTCCCTAGGAATGATTATGATAACTTAAATAGAAATACAGAACATCTGAACAATGCACTTTTCCGAATATGACACCCTTCCCCCTTCCCCCGGTGGACATCCCTGCAGAGTGTATCGCATAAGGCAGTGAACCTGCTATGGCCATGTTAAACTTCCTGTCCTGGAGGGGAGAGGGGAGGTGGTAGTAGGGTGAACTCTGTATAACCTGTTTTTGAGAAATCAACATAATCCCAACCTAAGGGTCAAGAAAGGAGACAAGTGGCACATGGAACTGGTTTGAATCTCAGTAAAAGTAGCAAAATACATTATGAATCACAGTGGGCCCAGGAACATGGGAATGATATGAATTGATGGGAGATAATTGGCAATCTTTTGGTACTGTATGCGAGTTAAGAAGCAACAGTGAGAACTGGACATGGAACCACTGATTGGTTCAAAATTGAGAAAGAAGTTCGGCAAGGCTGTATACTGTTGCCCTGCCTATATAACTTATATGCAGAGCGCATCATGAGAAAGGCTGGCCTAGATGAATCACCAGTTGGAATTAAGATTGCTGGGAGAAATATCAACAACCTCAGATATGCAGATAAGACCACTCTCATGGCAGAAAGTGAAGAGGAACTAAAGAGCCTCTTGATGCGGGTGAAGGAGGAGAGCTAAGATCATGGCATCTGGTGCTCTCACTTCCTGGCAAATAGATGGGGAAGAAATGGAGGTAGTGAAAGATTTTATTTTCCTGGGCTCCAAGATCACTGCAGATGGGGACTGCAGCCAAGAAATTAAAAGACGCTTGCTCCTTGGGAGGAAAGCTATGGCAAATCTAGGCACCATACCAAAAAGCAGAGACATCACCCTCCTGACAAAAGTGTGTATAGTCAAGGCTATGGTTTTCCCAGTTGCAATGTAAGCCTGTGAAAGCTGGACCATAAGAAAGGCTGAGTGCCAAAGAACTGAGGCCTTTGAATTGCGGTGCTGGAGAAGACTCCTGTGAGTCCCTTGGACTGCAAGGCAATCAAACCAGTCAGTGCTAGAGGAGATCAACCCTGACTGCTCTTTAGAAGGCCAGATACTGAAGATGAAACTGAAATCCTTAATGAGTAGGAAGGACTCCCTGGAGAAGAGCCTAACGCTGGGAACAATTGATGGCAAAAGAAGACGGGGACGGCAGAGGATGCGGTGGCTGGATGGAGTCACTGAAGCAGTTGGTGAGAGCTTAAGTGGACTCTGGGGGATGGTTGGAGGGCAGGAAGGCCTGGAGGAATGTTGTCCATGGGGTTGCGATGGGTGGGACACGACTTCAGGACTAGCAACAATTGGCAATTATGAGAGGAAGAAAGTCCTTGGGGAAAATAAAGGATTATTTAAGCAACATGCCATGTGGGGAGATCTTTGCTGGATTGGTGCATCAAACATGTATTCACTGCTGTGCTAATATATCAAGATTCTAGCTTCTGGCCTAGGGTATATAATGTGTGCTTTTGAAAATGAAGACTGAGACTTTGTTTTGGGCATGCTTTAGAATAAGCTATCCCTGTTTATTCTAACGTGAACTAGAATAAAGCTTGATTTGGCCCATAGTCTCGTCTCCAGATTCTATTTGGCTTATGTCTGGGTGTGCGCTCGGACTGACCTCAGCCATTGGCCAGCTGAGTCCAGTAACAGCAGGATCAGACCAAGTGTCCAGTATTTTGTTCAAACCATGGCCAACTAGCTGCCCATGGGGAACTTACAAGCCAAAAGTGAGTGCAACAAACTCCTGCCCATGTTTCCTACCAAACGCTATACACAGGCATACTACCTCTAATACTGGAGGTAGCAAATAGCCACCAGGACTATAGGCACTGACACAGCCTTATCCTATGTAAATTTGCTAAATGCTCTTTTAAAGCCATCTAAATTGGTGGCCATCAATAGAACCCGTGGAAGTGAATTCCTCATTTCAATTTATTTATGCTGTAAGCCGTCCAGAGACATAAGTAATTGGACGGCATACAAATTTTATAAAAAAATAAAAATAAAATTTAACTGTAGGAAGAAGTACTTCATTTTTCCTGTCCACTAGCCAGCCTTATGGGATGATGCTGGATTATAGTTTTAGGAGAGAGGAAGAAAAAATGTCTCCCCATCCACTTTCTCCTCACCATGCATAAATGATCCCAGATGTTGTACTCTTTCCTCATACCAACAATGTTCTTGTTGGTTTAAGTCTTCCTTTTCTGCACTTTTCCCAGCTCTATGATATCCTGTTTTATGTGCAGTGAGCAGGACCACACATCTCACTATTGTGTGGAAATGTCGTGAGCGGAGCCGACCGGTGCCGGAGGTCAGACTAGATGGCCCGGGAGACCCCCTTCTGACTCTCTCTGTTTCTATGTTTCTATGAAATCTGTGACCTAGAAACCTGGCTGTTTGCTTGCTCGGTCTGTTGGTCAGGTGCTGTTGCCTGTTGATGGGCTGTCAAGGTTTGTGATCTTCCACCTGATGATTCTTGGACTGGACAGCCCTTCGAATGGAGGATGCCTTCAAAACGGAGGACCATCCTCCATAAAAGATGAAATAATCTCCCCACCAATGTTGCCTGGTACCAACATAGTCATCGTTCCAGTGGCAAGTTAAAACCACCCTGTGTTCTGAGGCATTTAATGGCATATAATGGGTAATTCAGATGTTTTAATTAGGTTTAGTTTTATTGAAATTGTTCTAGATATTTAAACTGTTTAACACTGTATATATTGGAATATTAGACTATTTTAAATTTGATGGAATTTTATACTGTACTTTATTCTATCTGTATTTTACTGTATGTCTTTTTATTGTACTTCAGGAAATTATTATGAGCTCCAACTCAGCTCTTGGGTGGTATAAAAGAATAAACAAAGGCATTGTCCATTCCTGCTTAATGTCTTTTCCCCCACACTCTTCCTCTATAAGCTCTACTACCACTACAAGCCTATAGTCTCGAAGAGCAAAGATTCTGATTACTCCACTTTGGGTTTGTTTTTAATGTCTTTTAATTTGTAAATGTATATTCTTCTAGTTAGCAGTGGATTCCTGCAAATATGTGGAATCCTCTACCTTGTTTTTTGTGTGGCCCATTTAGTGTCAGTATTTGAATTCTTGAAAAGTGCTTCCACCAGGTAAAGCTTTGAATATTCAATCTCTCTACCTCATTTATGGAATATTCCAAAAGCCCATCACCCACTGGCATCACCCTGCATTTTCTCACCATTTCCATCATTTTTTCTTATGCAGAAATCCATTAAAAAAGATGAAAGAGCTGCATGATGACTTCTCATAGTTAGCATGAAGACTTCTCCATTTGAAAGCACCTGGAATAATTCACAATGCTTTATGTTAGCTTACTGTTAATTTGGTTTGCAAGTCAAGCTGTATGGATCCATGTAATGGAATACACATGTAACAATAACAGAAGACAATTAAATTCAGTGCGAACTTATAAGGGCAGAGAGAGACTGTCTGATGTTTCTACTTGGGGTATTAGCTTTCTGGTCATTCAAAAGCAAAAAAAGAAAATACCTTGTTGGCTGAGATTTCATTTATCAAACCAATTTTTGAAATTCATTATTTATTTATTACACTTCTATACTGCCACATAGCTCATTGGGATCTCTAGGTGGTTTACATATTTAAACATAAAAACAATAAATAATCATATTTACATAAACAATAGAGAATAAAACCAATACAACAAAAATCAACTCACAATGACTATAATAAAATTAATATATGACATAGCAGCAACAAAACATGATTAAAACAAACTTATCTATTAAAATATCTGGAAAATAAAAAGGGTTTCACCTGGCACTGAAAAGAGAACAAAGATGGTGCCAGGCACACCTTCTTGGGAAGCATGTTCCAAAGACAGGGTGCTACTGCTGAAAAAGCTGTTCTCCTAGTCATCATCCTCCTAGCTTCTTTTGAGGAGGGGGGGGGGTGGTTCCCTGAGAAGGACCTTAGCAGATGATCTTAGGGGCTGTGTAGGAACAAACAAAGCAAGGGATAATGTGGCCCCAAGTCATTTAGGGCTTTAAATGTTAAGATCAGCACTTTGAATTGGGCTCAGACTTCAACTGGCATAATATGTGAGCCAGTCCTCAT